ACTTTTCCAAAAGTTTAAAAAGTGTCACATTTCTGTCTTCTGTGATTTCTGATAAAAAAATTAAGTGATGTGGGACATTTGATCACACTGTGACTGTTAATAAAGTTAACATTGAGTCAGGGGCAGAGTCAATGACTAGCTGACTGGAATTAGACATAGAGATTTTGGAGGACATAGGAAAGAGTTGCAAGGGATTTAGAAAGATTTCTAGGCCATTCCAATCTGAGAAATTTGGAGAGAGAGGGTTAGCTGGTCATTCCTTCAGTGCTTTCTTGATCTATCAGATTTTTATACAAATCCAAGTTTTTATGAATAATGGAACAATTTAGATAAACTCTTCATCTGGTACCACACATGGGACACGGGATCACAAGGTGTCTTCTGCAGCAGCCAGCTCCTCAGTCACAGGAATCACAACTGCTCACTGCCAGCTCTGCAGCTGCCTGAGTTGTCCTTCACAGACATCTCTGTCAGTCCCCACACCCTCACCCACCATGTGGGCTCCTCCTGTCCACTCCCCTACAGCACCCAGTATTTTCAGGTGGTCTAACCTGGCATGACTCTGTTTAGCATTCAAGATCAGATGAGATCAGGCATATTCAGGTTGGTACAGCCATAGATAACTTCAAAGTCGTTAGCTAAGATAGTCTAGCCACATAGACTAACTACTCCAGCCAGGACTTCAGATATGCCCTGAATTTTCCTATCACACCGAGACTAGACAATAGCTAGCTCTCTCAAGACTTGATCATTATAATTTTTTCAGGGTCTACTAAAGATGCCTTTACCCTCAAACAGCAGGAAGTAAGTTAAAGAACACAATGTCCACAGACCGTATTCCAAAGAAGTGAGATGAGTGTGTTTTTTTGGTAATTTTGTGGGTTATAGATGTTTGTCATCATTTAGGAAGGTTGGTTGCAAATTGTTATTGGTCATGGTCAGGGAGGAAACTAAGAAAAGAAGGTTAGGTTCAGGGATCTCTTCCTGAAAAGGTGAAAAAGGGGGGAGGACGGGAATGATAGAATAAAAGGGTGTATTAGTGAATCTACTTTTGAACTAAAAAGCAAATATTAACCTCAAATATTTTACATTGGTATAAATTTTTGTATATTGATACAAATTTAAGGTTATTTTTATTATAATGTACTGTGTATATCTTTCTACTTTTGTTTAAAGTATTGTACCCATGTAGCTCATTTAAAAAATGTAACATAAAATTCTAGTCCTTGAGAGCTATTATTATAAATGATAGAAATGCAGGTTAGTAGTTAGTCATCTATGACAATCTAGCTTGTAGTCATATTAGATATGTTTCCAAAGTCAAACAGAGATATATTTTATATAGATAGTCTTTGAATACTTAAGAGATCTACAAAATATGACATATAAGATGTTTTAGTAATATATGACTGTTCATGACTATGAGATAGATACATCTGCTCCTGGCAGCTCCAATCTACTTCAAAGAAGATGATAGGTGGTAAAGAACCTCTATATGGCATTTGCTTTCTTTTGTGGAAGTTATCCACTGAGGAAAGACACTATCCTTGCCTCATATACTGTCCAAATTGGAAAAGTAGGTCACAAAAGAATATGGCTGCCAAACTTTGCCAAGACAAGGTAGGATATTCCTTCAAAATTCCTGCTTCATAGAAGAGTCTGTCAGAGATTCTAGGCCTGTAAATGGATGTCCCAACATTGCAGAGAAACTTTGTGTGACTATCTAGGCATCCAGATATCTCTGTCATTTCTATACTTTTGGAATTTGCTTACACTGTACTCCCTGTTTATTCAGGTAATATTCTATCCTTCTCAGGTATCTGATGGCGTTGAAGACTTAATAGTTATAGTTATTGTTTTCCTTATTATAAAATTTAGGGAAGAAACTTCAAAGAGAGATTTAAAGTTTATAAGGTTCGACATAAAAGCCTAAGTTGTTTATCTAAGAAAATGTTTTAAGATCTAAAAAGTTATTTTTAGGATAGTAATACAAGTTATCAGAGAAAGTGGCTTAGGTATAAAACTCTGGACTCATCAAGATAAGATAGATAATAGGGTAATTTCTTCTAATTTGCTAGATACAAAACATAGTTTTACTGTAATAGAGGCAAAATGCCTTCCTTTTTATTTAGACAAAAGGAGAAATGTTGTGAGATATTTGCTCTCTCTGTGATACTCAGAGATTGTTAATAAAACTAACTTTGAATTGGGGCAGAATCAATCACCAGCTGACTAGGGTTAACCATAGAGATTTTGAAACCAGGATACAATAGAGAGGAAAAAAAAAGAGTAGGGATGGCCTTAGAAAGATTCATCAGCCCTTTTGATTGGAGAAGCATGGAGAGAGAGAGTAAGCTGATTATGCCTCCAATACTTTCTTGATCTATCAGGTTTTTAGCTGAATATCTGACACCTGAGTTTTTAATAATAATAGAACAATTTAAATAAAGGCATCAAAGAAGTAGTCAAACCATGGATCCCCTATAGTAGTGTTCTTTCAAAGTATTTTCCTTAGTTTTTTGTTTGTTTGTTTTTCTGATTTCTTTCTCAACCCATTTATCATCTATACAAAGGAGGGATACTGATTTTTTTTATCCTGTATCCTACTACATTACTGAAGGTGTTTATAAGTTTAAAAGCTCCTTGGTAGAATTTTTGGGGTCACTTCTGTAAACTGTTATATTATCAGCAAATAGTGAAGGTTTGACTTCTTTTCTGATTTGTATCCCCTTGATGTCCCTTTGCTGTCTTATTACTCTAGCTAGAATCTCAAGTGCTATATTGATATGGAGAGAGTGGACAACCTTGTCTTGCTTCTGATTTCAATGGAATCTCTTTGAGTTTCTCTCCATTTATTTTGATGTTGTCTGTTGGCTTGCTGTATACTATCTTTATTACATTTAAGTTTGTTCCTCGTATCTCTGTTCTATCCAAGACCTTTATCATGAAGGAATGTTGTATTTTGTCAATTTCAAATATTTAATGAGGTGATCATGTGGATTTTTTTTTCAGTTTGCTTATATTGTGGATTACATTGACAGATTTATGTATGTTATACCATCCCTGCATATCTGGTATGAAGCCTACTTAGTCATGGTCGATGGTTTTTCTGATATGTTTTTGGATTCTATTTGCCAGTATTTTACTGAGCATTTTTGCATCAATGTTCATGAGTAAGATTTGTCTGTAATTCTGTTTCTTAGTAATCTTTTTGTGTGGTTTGTATATCAGGGTAATTGTGGCCTTGTAAAAAGAGTTTGGCAATGTTCTTTCTGTTTCTATTATGTGGAACAACTTGAGGAGTATTGGTATTAGTTCTTTGAAAATCTTGTAGAATTCTGCTTTGCTCGGGTATAAGTTTATTTGGGTTTTTCCTATTTGGAAATGGAAGATATTTTTGAGTATGGAGAGTCTTTCACCAAACTGGACATTGCTTCAGTGTGTCACACTTGTCCCATTTTCCTCAGCGAATCTGATGACACGTTCATGTGAGGTGTGACCCTGCAGGCACCTGAGGGTTGACTCATTTGTTTTTCAATGTTTCTTCTTTTGTTGTGGGAATTATCTGGCTGGATAACTTCTATTGGTTTGTGTTTAGGTGTACATATTCTTTACTACGACATCTCTATTTTGTCACAGAGCACATCTAGAGAATTTATTTAAAAATGGTGGCTGTATATTTCATTTTAATTTTTTTTATTCTGTTCATTGTATTTCCAGCACTTTAAAAGATTGAGTCTACTCATTAATTACAAGTAGTATTTTCCGTTTTATACCACATTTCTGGCACATAACTCCAACATCCCTGTCATGTTTTCTTCGTATTCTTCCTTGTGAGATGTCCTTTTCTTGGTACTCTGTATATTGGGTAATGGTAAATTTGTATCTTGGACTTTATTAAGTCCATGTCATGAGACAGAATTCTGTTAGAAAATGTAATCATTTAGGTTCCATTGAGAGAATAGCAGTTATTGTGCAGCAATTTCCTCTAAGTTGCAATGCTCTATACTGCAGGGAATCTCTTTAAGACGCAGGACATTCTATGATGACAGTCCTTAAAACTCAGGGTGTCAACAACTCAGAAGTTTCAGGAATTCCTGAGACTGACCAGATTTACTAAGCCCCTTCTTCTCTTCCATGAACCAGCACCCATGCTGTACATTAGCATTTCAGTGATGCAACTGCTTTTAAGTCACTTTTGCTCTCTTAAGTAACCCCTCACTCCTATTCCTGTAAGTAACTCTAATAAACTTATTGGTTCACTCCATTTGACTTAGGTGGTATCTTTATTTTTGTCTGTTGTCAATTTCCTAGCTGGAGTCACTAGGCATTTGTTCAGGAGTTCATATATAATTATAGGAACCCCTCTTTTAGTTTCTCCATTGTCATGATCTTCATAGTATTTTCTGCTTCCTTGAGATAACCCCTTTTGGATCTCTTGCCAAAAAAATGTGCTTTATTTACCCAACTCCTTCAATATATCCACAATGGGCTCATATGTAGGAGGAAAAGGAGGGGGGGGAGAAAGGGAGAGGGACCATTACTTGGGAAGAGATTGAGACTTACTCTTTAAAGACTGGATATGCATCCTACTCTTCTCCTCCGGTATCATTCTGGCCAGAAAGTCAGGTCTACATTACAATTGTCTTAGTTTTGAATCCTGCTGGATTTTATTGTTGTTCGTGTACCTGCTGCTGCTTCAGTGTTTCAAGGATAACCCAGGGTCTTGGGTACAAGGGATTAGAGAGAAGAAGAACATTCCAGAATGTCCCCCAGGACCTGAATTCAAAGAGACTTTGCTTGCTCAGCTAGAGATGGAGAGAGCTCCTCCTGCAGTTCTGTACGGTACTGAGGTCCACTTACTTGTCAGGGCTATGTTTGGTCCATAGTGGATTAAATAGAAGAAGAAACCTGGAAAAGGCATAGCGAGTTACAAAGAACTTTGGATTTGGCTTGAATTTGCCAAGGATCCATAGCCCTGAAGTAGCTGCTGCACATACCTTGTCCAGGGTGGAGAGATGGTTTTGGTGTCGACATGGGGCAGAGTATGTTTTCCTCCATCTTGCCCAGAATCAGAACTAAGGTTTACAGTGGAAAGTAAGGAGACAAAAAAAGGAAAGAAAGAAAAAGGAAAAAGAAAAGAAAAGAAAGAGAGGAAAAAGTTACCATAAACATGGCACATACTTTATGACTTGTAATATGTTGACTGTACAAAGTCATTATAAAGCCAACAAGATGAATGAAAAAAATTGTTTTAGTCTCGATAAATCTCAGTCCTTGGAATAATCAATAGCTTTGATTTGGCGTACAATCTGGCTCTTATTTACTACCACTGGAAATGGTTTCCGTCTGGGGACTGCTGTGATCATAGAATATATATATATAACATCTTCAAAGGAAGTCGTTGTTCTTAACACACCTGTAAGTTTTATAAGCACTGACTTCTACTGAGAGAACTGCTAATTAGTGCAATCTTTGAAAAGCCTAATGCAGACAATTCTAAACTGCTACATGCAAAGGCACACTTGCATCTATAGATCAACATGATCTTACTGCAAAAATGCACAGCCGCCAGAATGCTGTTGCGTGCACTAATCATTCATGTCCCAATAGAGAAGAGCCAGAATTGTTCAAAACAGATGCCAGAGCACTTGTGAATTAAATTTCGAAAAGGAAATTAATTAGATTTCTATAGCAAATCTATTTGTGAAGGAAATCTTTACCTCTTGGCTTTGGCTATTTCTTTTTCATAAATAAGAGTTATGTATCTTTATTTAGACTTCTTCCTGCTTCTGATTCTGTGTTCTAACTCCCTGGTCAGCCTATGGTAACACGGCAGGCATGTAGACTTTGGATGTGTGACTTTCACTGACCTGAAGGATGCAGCACTTACTGAGCTGCCTTCCAGTCAGCAGATTATAACCACATTTGATGGAAAGGGAGGATTGCTTCCCATGAAGGCCAAGGGTGCTCTCTGGGGCTGAAATGCTCCAGTGTCAGGAGGAGGCTGTAGCAGATCTTGGTAGTCCAGAGGGCCACGGAAAGCCCTTACCAGGAGTGGCAGCCTGCACAGCCTCCAGAATTCTGAATGACCTCAGTGAAGTCATTTTGGTTTGTACTTGTTTTCTTTTCTCTCTTAGTCCAGATATTTACAAAGCCTGAAAAGTTTACTAACAAAAAAAATGCACAAATTTTTCCTGATTGTTTTCATATATAAATAAAGTCCAGCACCGTTATGACAAAAAAAGGCAAATTATTCCCATTATTCAACCTTTTAACCATTTTCAAAGGATGATCAATGAGGTTATGAAAACTAAGAAAATTCCAAAGACATTTTTTTTGAAGTCAGACATTCATGATCTTTCTTCTAAACTTCACTTCATTGCAGCTATTATGAAGTACAAGCACCCTCCAAAAATGTTTGCTGTTCAGTTCACTTGCAAATGGTGAGTACTCTCTAGTTAGTGTAAGAATGGATATTTTTCTTCGAGATAAAAACTTAGCGAGTTTAAATATAAAGCATGTGCTTAAATTAGTTCTAATCATTAGCTATGGCTAAGATGTGAAATCAGTCTAGTTTCCTATCAATCAATGGATGGGTGGATGGACGGATGAGGAATGAATAATGATATTCACTGTTTAGCAACAGAAAAGAATAGAATGCTGTCATATGTAGAAAAATAGCTAGAACTTGGGGTCATTAAGCAAATTAAGCCAGAAACAAAAACATGACATTTGTATGTAGAAGCTCTAAAAAAAAAAATTACCTTTTTTTTTTTTTTTTGTATAGAGGAGTAATTATCTAGGTTGGGAAGTGGGAGGTGGATGGGTAAAGGTAAGCTAGGTCTGACCACTGTGTGTCTTCTGCCTTTGTCCATCACTGGATTCTACAAACTTGTGCAATTAATACATTTTCATCAAGAATAAACTTAGAAAAATAAAAATGTATGAGAACTAGAATTTTTTGTGTATAATATCTTGGAGGCTGATCTTGTGCTATTCCTGACGTCTGTAGAGGAAGAATGCATTTTACCATTTTAGAATTGGTGCTCTGCAACCCCCAGGTAGTTATTGTTTTTGCAAAATGTAACATAGAGAGATACTGTTCTGCTGACCTCTTGCCAGTGCAAATGTGTACAGAAATATGGTTGAAGTAATTTGTGATGTTTTCTGTAGTTTTGTGGGATGTGTACAAGCACAAGGATTCCTCTTGTTGCAGTCAAGGTCTACTTCTTTCTGCCCCTTTCCATTCCAATCATATAGAAAGCACAAATTCTGTTTGTCTAGAGTTGCAGAGATTCCATGGGTTAAATAGCCCAGACTTCTACCTGCCGTACTTCAAGGTGGAATCCTATTAGACTTTATGAGGTTATCCTTGCCTGCTGAAATTTTCATTAGTTATGAATTGTGTTCTTCCTAACATTCAGGAGTTGAGAAACTGCTGGGAGATGCTGTTCTGGGCTACAGCTGCCTGCCGGAATTCTTCAGATACAATGAAGCAAAGAAAATCACTCAGTGTGTGTAATTTTTCCTTTCTCAATAAAACATTTTATCTCCCCAAATTATGGAAGGGAATAAAGACACATAGGAGCCCCTTGCCATTACAGACTACGGCTGGTGGATCCCTCTGCCTCATTGACAGAGCACACTCACCAGGAAATACAGACGTTAAATCATTATAATCAAATCAGCATTTCAACTCCGGTTCCTCTCATCTAATTCTAATTTATCATAAACAGTGTGATTAGGGAGTGATGAGTGACTCTCATTCCCTTTGCTGTGATGGTACCTAATCTATATTCCATGGAAAGATAGTCTCAAAAGCCAATAACATATTTAAATTATGATTTGAGTTTTCTAAATAAATATTTATCCAGATGAGGCATATTAATAATTCAGTGCCCACAAACTCTCAAGGTGTCGTGCTTCAGTGGAGGATTGACTCGCATTAAAAGGTGATGTTATCGGTCCCCTAGAGCCGAGAGCTTTGATGGTGGGTGGGCAGACTGACGTCTTACCCTAGCAGGCCCGGGGGATAGAAGGGCAAACAAGTGACCTTAGGAACTGATGGATAATAGGGTAGACAAAGAACAGTGTTAGAGTAGCATAGGATATTAGGGTAGAGAAGTAGCAGAAGATAACTTTTAATCTGGATATTGAGATCAAGAAAGGGAACCTCCCCAAGTACACTGTTGAGGTCCTCCTAATGATAGTGATGGATCCTTTTCATTCGCCCCATCTTGTGACTTTCATATCTTCAGGAGCTCCGTCACAGCAATGGAAAGTTGAATGCCTATATCCTATAGAACAGTCAAGTTCAGCTGAGCTGATCTTAAGTCAGCCCTGAAGACTTACGTTAACCTAGAGTTAGCTAAAATTATCTTAGACAAAGTCCTACTCCCTTAAAACACACACACACACACACACACAGATGGTTACTTTGAAGACATGATGGGATATGAAAGCACAATACTACATTTCGGATGTGGAATATCCCCAAAGTTAAAAGTATGTGTTAAAAGTATGTTCATCTGTTGGATGCAATTGGACATGTGAGATTTCAGAGGTAGGATTCAATAAATGAAAGTTGGGCGTGTGCCCTTGGCAGCAATACTGAGACCCAGAACGCTCTCTTTCCTTCCTAGGTACCATGAGACAACAGGCCTCTTGCCTACACACTCTAGTAATGTACAGTGCTGCCTTGGGCTCAAAGCAAGCAGAGAAAGTAACTTTGGAATGGGAACCTCTGAAAGTCTAGATCACGGTAAGCCTTTTCTCTTACTGTGTGGGATGTATCCAGGGTTTTGCTACAGTAATGGAAATGGCTAACATTAAAGATCCAGGAAGTGCTGCAACAGTGCCTTGTCCAGCACCAGGTGCTTCTTCTGTGATGGTGGCCTGACCAGGAGCTGTGCTTGCTGCCGCTGTCACCATTATGAGGTAGTGAGGTTCTGCTCATTGCAAGCTTAAGAGCAAAATCAGAAACTCCAAGTGCTGTTTATATTAAATTCCTATGATTTTTAAACAATAAATTAAGTCTATTTTTAACTTATAGGACACATACACACATGAGTATTACACATCTTTGTAGATGCATACATTCTGGGCCATTTAAATCACATTCAACACATCATACTCTCAAATTTTTCATTTCTTCCTAGGGAAAACACGCCTACCTTTCCTTACAGTGTTTGAAAACATAGGTTATGAAGTTGCTCTCTGCCCATTTGAAAGGCCTGTAAATGCCTGCATTTGTGTCCTAGCCTGGGAAGAGCAGCTGATTGGGTAGATAGCGATGCGCTCCTCCTCTCTGATGTTTGTTCTTGGGGCCAGTTGCTCTGCAGCCTCCCTCTTCCCTGCTGTTGTCAGTGATGCTTCTCCAGTTTATTAAACTGAGACCAGCAAACTTCCAAGCCCTTCATTCTTTTGATTTTTCCATCACTAATAACACTCCATTTATTTTTAATAAGCATATTTTATTTTTTAATTTATTGTTATCATTACTATTATTTTTTACTGTTATTATTTGTGTGTGTGTGTGTGTGTGTGAGAGAGAGAGAGAGAGAGAGAGAGGGAGAGAGAGAGAGAGAGAGAGAGAGAGGGAGAGAGAGAGAGAGAGAGAGAGAGAGAGAGAGAGAGAGAGAGAGAGGAAGGGAGGGAGAGGGAGAGAGACAGAGAGATGGTAGCCATGTGTGTGCTATGTAGCATGTATGGAGATCAAAGGACAACTCTAAGGAGTTAATTTTCTCTTTCCACCATGGGTTGTGGGGCTCAAACTCAGGTTGCCAGCCACTGAGATATCTCACAGGCACTATTTTCCTCTAGAGACAGGATCTCACTATGCTCCCCTGGCTATCCTTGGCCTTATGGTCATTCTGCCTTGAGCGCCTGAGTAACCAGTATTATAGGGGGATGATAAATGTTCCTATCTCTCATGTCTAGAGGGAATGTCTGTTTGTCTTGCTTTTATGACAACCATTTCCAGTTTTCTAAGATCTTTATCACACACAAACCTGAGAGCCAATTTCCCAAACTCAATAAAAAGCAGTTCTGAGGATTTTCCCTGAAATGACGGGGA